CGTTTGAGTAAAAATAATATAACTATAAAAAGGTGAGACACAAACAGTAAGAAACAGACTAGTGCAAAATTTAACAGTACCAAATCCTGAAAATGAATCATTAGGCACGTACACAAAAGAAAAATCACATTTCCTACACAGACGCTATTTATAAAATTTTATATAGGTGAAAAAAGTACGAGTATTAAACACTGAAAATATAAAATATTCACTTACTTTCTTCAAATAATTAGTAACTTCGATGGATTCTGTCACAAACGCCAATCCACGAACAAACAGTATTCTTTGCGACTTTACCATTCTTTTCGACCGCCATTGCTGAGTGCTGACTTCACAAATATCCCGCCACAACCGGAAGTAGAAAGTGTCTGCTTTGCCATTGGTCAGTGAACAAGAATTGCAACGCTTTTTTTTTCTTTATAATTAAACATATTAAGAAAGCCTCTAAATTAGCATATGAAATAAACTTACTTTTGCATTATATAAATTTATATTCACAGCATCTCTGTATTAAGGTAATAATTAAATTTTTCTACGAAAAATAGAAATGTCTGTGTATGCGCATGCTCAGTGTATAATCGTAAATCCGGTAGCGTAAAATTAACTATGTAAATTTTGAGTTCATTTAACTGGACCCTTGTACTTATTCTGTAGATCTCCATATTAAGAATGTCTTTAACTGTTTCAGGAAAAATATAAAATATAATATAATATTTATTTACATTATTTATTAATTTTTTCCTCATATAAAAATTATTAAAATCGCTATATCATTTTTTCCGTACATTAAACAAAATTTAAAAAAATTAGCCTCATATGATTTTTATAACAAAGATTAAAGGAACTGAAATATATGTAAAATATCAGGATTCAGCTTGCAATTTCGTAGAGTTTATTATTATTATTATATATAAATAAAAATATTAGTATATCTTTGATTATAATTAATGATCCTTTGGTCTACATTAAACTATTGTTCAAGAAGTTAAACGTTTTCGAGCATCTTCTGCTGTATTTATTATTCTATTCCTCGACATGAAAGATTTGCTAGTCTTATTCCAATTCAATTGCCCACATTTGCTAAATAAAATAAGGAGAGTATTGTACCAAACTCAGTAAGTACACAAATTTAATATACAGTTAAATTAATTAATTATTCCAGTTAAATGGGTAATAGGATTTTCATAAAAGAAATTAAATTGTGTAAATTAATATAAGTGTTGATATGAATAAAAATAACAAATTTGATATAAGAAAATAAATAAGTTATTTTGAAGATGTTTGAATTAAGAAAATATAATTTTTTGCAAAAATGCACGTAAAGATTTAGCTCACATGTTAAAATTTATAGAAAAATTTTAGCCTCATATATGAATGCCCCTTTTTTCATGTTCGTGGACAAGGAAAACAAAGTGAAATGCCAGAAATACACTAAATATTTTGAATTAATAAACTTCATTTTCAATCTTTTTAGACTTCGTATAATATCCGTAAAAGTGACGAATGAAATATACCATAAAGGCAGTAGTTTCTTTCAGAACATTCGGATTCGTATAATATGCGTAAAAGTGACGAATAAAATATACCATCATAACGGTAGTTTTATCAGTACATTCGGATTCGTATAATTTTCGTAAAAATAACGTGTGGAAAATAACGATCAAGAGTTAACAGTAACTTCAGCCTTTTTCATTCGTATAAATTTCGTAAAAGTAACGTGCAAAAAATACCATACCCTTATTTCACCAAAATTATACGTATATTTTTGGAGACGTGCTGCCTGGGAGAGTTCGAAGGTGGAAGGTTTGAGAAGTTTAAACATGAAAATTTCAGTCTCAAAGATGGTGGCCGCTCTAGACAACCATCTTCTGTAAAGCAAAGATATATTAAAAGAGGTTATCACTGAAAATTCAAATTACGCAGCTAGAGAATTATCAGACAGAATGCACATGATTTTTTGCTGAAAAAACATAAAATAAAGCTCCTTTTTTGAAACAACTCCTTACTGAGATCAGAAGTGGATGCCATACAATAATGCTACCCCTCCCAAAAAAGTAAGACAGAACATCCTCCTTAGTAACATTTATAGAGGAGACTGCATCCCAAGAAAGTAATGCTTTGTTTACGCGGACAGAGTAAAGAAATTAACACTATCAATTGTTGTTACCAAAACGGACAATAAATTCGGAAAAATACCATTCCCAGATAGCAATTTTAAAAGCAGAAATAGATGGAAAGTGTCCAAAATGAGTAGTCTTTGAGGTGCTGTCATGACAATGCTTGGACCCACATTTTAATGACTGTCAAACAAAAACTGAGATGTGTTACCTTTGTTATTCACTAGACTTAGCTTCTCGGATTTTCATCTCTTCAGGTCTTCAAAATTTTCTGAATGGTTGAGCATTCACTTCTTTGAAGACTGTCAAACAGCATGTTCATAACTTCTTTATGGATAAATTTAATGAAGTTTTTAAAAAAAATTACATATTTCATGAGAGAAGACAGAAAGGTCATAGATTAAAATCATACTTTTATGATCCAATGAAAATTTTTTCTGTTTTTGTATGACCCAACAGATATTATTAATGAGAAGACACAACGGAAGTTCACTAGCTTTTCTAATCCCATTATAGGCAGTGAACTGAGCTAAGAGAATTTGTACATGGTTGAAATAATCCACCTTCTTTACCACAAATTTTATACAATTTGTAGCTCTTTTAGCTATAAGAAATCTTTCTTAGCTCACATCTTACAAATTATGCATATATTTGCAAATGGAACCGAAACACTATTTTCACAAATACAGTCTTTCTGCTCTAACAGTGAAGGCAACATTGTGAAAATTGACACATTTAAAGACTCAACTTAAAGAGGGAAGGATGGAAGTCAGAATTTTAGCAATAATATAGGATACTGAGTAATTCATTTTTGGAACAGAAAGAAAATAAGACAACAATGTAAGTAGAAGAAACTAAATTTCAATGATAAATATTACCGCAGAAAAGTTAGAAAAGAAATCTATATATACAGGAATTACAATTGTCTGATGATTAATAGATTAACAATTACTTATAACGTTAGAACAAAGGACTAACATAACATATACAGATAGGTCAAAAAATAAGTTGCACTCACCCAGAAAATTTTGTTATATTTTGACAAATATTTCCACAGTTATACATAAGTGGTGCAGTGATAGTTAAATATAGAATGTTATCAGCAGTGGAAATATGTCATTTGAAACTTAAAATCCAAACTGGAAGTTTAAACTGCTCTCTGTGAGCAAGATATGTATTTTTATTGAGATTCATTACAAACTGCAGGACATACATGATGCTAAAGAAATTTTGTGCCATGTAAATGTTAAATTATATGTTTGAGAATGGGTGGGCATCTTGGATAGAACCAATGAGAGGTGTCAAAACACTGTTACCTCTGATCTAAGACAATATTCATGTGCTTAGATCTATGAAATGCTTGAAGAGGTGATGCCATTTTGATGAGAAGGTCAAAACTGCACAGAAATAATGACTATTAACACTTTTGCTGCCAAGCGACATTTTCAAAAACAGTTCCACAATGCCAACAAATTTTAATTAATTGTAAAATAAAAATACAAAACATGTATTTATGAGAAAGATATTGAATTTGGATAATTTTTAATTGCTTTATTAATTACACAAGTTATATTGTAGTCGGTTTTTGTGATAAAATGTTTTATGACAGTGCCAACGAGTATACTTGTAACGAGTACATTTGTAGTTGGCGGTTGCTTATAACAAATATAACATTTATAATAAATATTGAAACATTTATGTTTAATATTAATAATATTAATTTGTCCTTTTATTCATATTTTCAAAAAGCAAAGTTTGAAATTTTAACAGACATAAAAGATTTTATTTAAAACCTTTCAGAAGCATATGCGATTTCTTCTTTTCTTTTAACCATTTAGTCTCATATATAAATTGCATTTTAAATTAATTTAGATGTATTAATTAGAGTTAAATGTTCCAGCACAATTTTCAATAAGGTTACAGTCAGCAAATTGATTACTTTCATTACATCACCTCTTTCTATTCATGTCTCATCACAAATGATTTCAGTTTTTGAAAGAGCTTAGCAAAACTGACAATACACATAGAAATATTTGCTGAGCTGAATACACACATATAAGCCTACTAGTTAAAAAATGGAAAAAAAAAAAAAAAAAAAAAAAAAAAATCTACCAGATTTATGTTTGTGACATGATTGCTCGCAGTGGCTTATGCGTTAAGGGATGGAAGACTATGTGCATCTGAACTGGTTCTGAAGGCGAAACTGCTTTATATCCCCTTTTCTTCGTAATACAAATGGTGGCTGTGCAAAACAACATTGCACATGAATGGAGCTTACAGATATACTCATTTCATAGCTGGTGGTTCTTAAAAAAAAGATTGATTATCTTTACAACAATTATTATAATAAAAATTATTATAAATTGCTTGATCATTTTTACAGTTCCTATGTTATTTACTTTATAATTACTTATATTGTACTTATAATAAATCTCTTGAACGGCATTAAACTGCTTTTTTTTTTTCCTAATCCCCAAAGCCAGGTAACCTTCAAAGAACATGAAAATACTAAGAGTTTGATCGGATGTGGCATAAGTAAAACAAAAACATTCTATGAATTAACTTGTAGCTGGTGCCTAAACACAAACTTCGATTTACAAGATAAACTCATAGCTGGCAGAGAACGTGCTAAAAGTTTGACGGGAATTCTTCAAACAATGTATACAGATACCACATTATGATAATTGTTTGAAGAATCTAATTTTGGTAATACACACTTCATGTAAATTAAAAAAAATAGAGGAAGCATATATGTTTTATGTACTATTTCTTTTATGCAAGTGCAATTAACTTTTTGCTCATTATATGAAATTCAGTATGAACACATTCTATAAAGAAAAAAAGAAAACTAAAGTTTGCAAACTTTTTTTTATAGATACTTACAGTATATGGTTCAACAAGAAAAGTAGTTTCTAATGCTAATTTTTGTTCTTGTTCAATGTTATAACCTATATAACATAACTTTTCTTTAATCATCCTTACTGTTTCAAAGTCTGCTGAATGGTTGAATGCATATCCTCGAAGTAGGAGTAGCTACAGTTACAAGAAATAAAATTAATGCAATTTTTGTCATTAAAAAAATATGGAACATATCTTGCATCAACTTAAGTATAATGTTATAAATACTAGTATTTCCAAATCAATATAACTAACTATACATCCTACCTTAATAAGATATCGAGTAATATCTCTTCCCGCTATGTCTAACCGACGGGTAATGTGCGACAGTGCAAAACCTTCATACACCGGACATATGTGAGTAACACCATCTCCAGAGTCAACAACAACTCCAGTAAACAAACCTTGAAAGATAAAATATTTCAAACCTTTCAAAAATATTCACTGTAAAAAAAAAAAAATATCTATATCTATATATATACATATATATACTGTATTAAAAAAAAAGAGAGAGGGGGGGGAGGGGAATGACATTTTAACCTATTTGCAGAAAAGAATCGTATAGCCAAACTTCTTTATCCCTCTAAATGTTCTGTTAGTTGTAAGGACTGCTGCTACATTTTATATGTTGTCTTGTTAATCAAAACATTTTTCTTATCCTCTTTAACCCTCTGACTGACGTGGTTTTTGGATCTTTCACGAAGATCTGTATTTAAACAGCCTTTATTAGCTAAATTTGTATATTTACTTAGTTTAGTCTCTATTTTCATAAGCTTACATTCATTACAATGACATTTATAATAAATATTAAAGAAAGTAAGAAAGCGAAATATCTTAAATTATGAGCTAATAGATACCAAGTGACAAAAAATCTCATTGCTTGTCATGATGTTAAGAGGGTTAATGATCAGGATATCATTTTATAAATGGAAGGTTTATGAAAACAGCGAACTAAGTAATTATATTACAAGTCGTAAGTGCAATTTAGCAAATGAATCTAAAGCATCTGGTTGTCCAGAGGTTAAGTTATCATCTGGATAACATACCACTCTTCTTATGGATAACATATTGCTCACTATATATGAAATAATGTTCAACTTGAAATTTTTTATTCTCTCCTTTTTCAAAATATTCAGTTCTAAAAAACTGCAGTTTAAAAGATGGAATCTAGTTATTTTTCTTAAAGTGCTACTATTTCTTGTAATTCTTTAGGATTGGATGTTCAGATTATCCTGTTTCTTGTTGCTTTAATAGAAATGCTACAAATTAGGTTTTAAGAACAGGCTTGGCATTGCAAACATGCAAAGTTGCCAAAACTGACTAATTTAATCTTTTAATCTAAATTATGCACAGCACATTGCCAAAGGCTTATATGATGCCCACTTTAACAAGCACTTTTTTTCTCATTTCAATAAATTTTAAAACATTAAAGTTTTAGATAACGTAGCTTATAATACTCGAAGCACATTTTACATACTCATTACACTATTTAAAAAACTACTACCTTCATTTAAATAATAACAATTGTCCTAATTTTAAATTTTCCATGTCACATATATTATGAATAAGTTTTGGATACTAAAGCTTTACTCAACCCTTTAATTGCCCGAAACTCTGTTCTTTCTACAGAAAACACGATACTCGTGTGTAAGACTATGTTGTGGACCATTCTTACCTATGTGGGTTTTGCATGTAATTCAAAAATGAGAGAAAAACTTACAGCAAATTCAAAATATCATACTAAGACAAAAGACAAAAACTATCCATGGTACATAAGGAATGAAGCTATTCACAACGAATTAAATGTTAATAAGATGGAAATATGTATTGCTAAAATTGCTAAGAAATTCTTTAAAAATATTGGTAAAGCAAACAACAGTTCAATCCCCTTTATGGATTATAATTATACTTATCAAAGCAGAAGAAAGTGACCTGGAGTGGTCTTACCGCACCTAAATTAATTTGTCTACTAAATAAATTAATATTTATCATTCTCTTTTTTACTTAATTTTTGTAATTTTATATTACACTAAACCCACAAATTCTTATGTATTTCCCCCATTTCTCCGAATTTGTCTATTAAATAAATAAACATTTGTCCTCATTTTTACTTAATTTTTGTAATTTTATACTACACTAATCACACAAATTCTTATGTTTCCCCATTTCTCTGTTCCTTTCCATCAGTTCTATTCAAATTTAAGCGGTTCTGGAAAAGAACCAGCCTCTCTTACCAATGTCCGACTTGCTTAGAAATGCACTCTCTTTACAGCTAAGAAGCTGGCTCTCCGCTGATCTGGCCAGATGCCTTGCCCATCCTCCAACCTAACATACATTTATTCTGGACTTCAAGATGCACAGAGCTCCAACACTTTAACTGCTTTATGTTTATACCACAACATAATCATTTTAAAATGAACAGTAGCTATCTTATTGTTGCTCAACTAACCTGGATTTTGAAGAGTAACTCTATCTCAAAGAATCACTCAAGCTTCAATTGAGAATTAGAATTTTTGCTGGTTCTCGCTTCATATTAACTCCATATTATGCTACCAAATGCCATGTGTTCCATTCAGGATGTAGCTATCGGTCAGGAGCCTAATATAAGTGTCTCATGCACCTCGTACTCTTCTAATTTTAATAAGAGAAGTCCGTAAAATTATTTTAAGTTTGACAACCACTGTTTTAGAAGGTGGCAAATTTTACTTTACAACAAATTTTTACAGTTCAATATTTTCTGCACAAATATAAACATACTAGCTTTACCTGCGGCTTTGCTCGCATTGATATCCTTAAATAAGTTTCAACTCTGCATGAATTTAAAAAATACACTCTGCGTAAAATTTCAAAATAAAGAACATTCGAGCGCCTTAAAATGATAAAACAAAATTTTTTATTGCACACAGTAAAATGCAAAGAATATAAAATGTAAATGCAATTTTTCAAGCAACTATAACAGAAATATATAACATGAATGAATAGATCTTTAAAATATGAAATGAAACATTAAATATATCACAAAAGTCGAAATGTTGATAATAGTTTCAAGTTGGTAAGTTAATTAGAAGTTATTAATTTAAAAATGGTTTTCCACGTGTAAATCCGTGAACTTTGACTTTCGTCAAACCAACGGTCGACCGGATACCAGCTCCCCCCACTCCATCGCTTTCGAATCGCAGCCTGTCAACAAAGAGTTAACAATAGCAAGCAGAGTATTGTTTCAGCTGTGATTAAGCTGCAAATAATTAAGTGACAAAAACAGTTACAACACCATTGTTCCTATCATTCAGAGAGCGAAACAAGTTTCTAAATTTCTAGAAATTTGGATAATTAGATCAAAAGTTATAATTTTTATCACCAATTTATTGGACCCACACAGAAAGACTCAAGAAAAAATCCCTAATGTCCCTACTGAGTCACATTCAAATTAACACTTTCAGAGTTTTTAATGAATACTTCAGCTGATTAAAGTCGTACGAAGATGAGAATGGTATCGATGGATTCCGACAAATTTTTGGAATCAGTGGATATGTGTCTTGAAATTCAACTAACCGCCGTTCCATAGATATTTGTGAAAGTATAAATTGGCACATAGCCAAATCCCTTGAATAGGGAAAAACCCAACAAAGTAAGTGAAAAATGTAGGGGAAAAGTAGTTTTTAATTAATATCTCGGCTAATTAAAGTCATACAAAGACATTTTATAGCTTATAACCTTTTCTAATATATCAAAAATACTTCTTGAAGTTTCATGATGATCGGTTAAGTAATTCAGGCGTGAAAGCATAACAAACACACACACAAACAAACTCACGTTCACATTTATAATATTAGTAAGGATTTCCATAATTATAAAATTTTTAAACTAAAAAAGAAGCTTTAAATGCAAAAAACCTACCTTGCGCATAGAGTGTAAGGACTGCTTGAATAGCAATGTATGTGCCTGCAAACTGATATTTTTCAAACATAACCTAGAAATCATAATATGAAAAAAAAATTAAAGTGTGAACGAAAATTTGTGAAGTATAAATTTATAAAGTATATCAGTTTCTTATTTTGGTACTTTCTAATTATTCGTACCTTTGTTTCTGATTATTTGCATTTGATTGAGGCAAAGCATTCTGTTGCCAAAATGTGTGCAACTGACGATGTTGATAAAAAGCATTTATGTGGCAACTCAAGTATGCGTGTAGCATGTCTGTTTTGACTAGTACACAATGGAGCAATCGTGCAGAAAGAAGCTTGAGCAATTCTCTCTTTTTTTAAAGTGAAAACAGATCACTGTGTACGTGGGAAGAACAATATCCTCCTAATAAAACAAAACAAAAGAACAAAAAACAAAACCAAAAAAAAAAAAAAAAAAAAAACTTCTTGAAAAGGGTAAGTGTTTTATTACCAGTGTTTCTTGTTTTTTTAAATTTTATTGATTGACAGTGGCGACTCGTAATAAGTACTGTGGAACTGCAGCACCCTCTATTTCCACTTATTATTTTTAATATTTAATATAGTGTGCCCTTTAGTCTTTAATTCTTTCTTTATACTTTTATAATACATAATCCTTAAGCTTAATGTCAGTTGCCATCCCCTGCTTTGTGAAAAAAGTACGAAATTCTTTCCTTGGAACTGCGCGCTTCACAGTTCCAGCAACGTGGTGTTTGGCTGTTCTGCGCATGCGCGCACAGAAAACAGCATGCGAGCCGGGTAGCGAGAAGAGCACTGTCGCTCTTGCAGTGCCGGAATTCCGGCATGTTGTTGGAAACGTGATTTCTTTTTACTCCGCGTGTGGTATTCCTCCACAAGGTGGAACTTCATCATACGGACCATTAACAGAGTTCATGAAAATTTGCAACCTTTAAAAAATTGCCTTACTGAAATTCAATCAACATCAAATGCAGATCAAACTATTGCAAAAGCAACAGGAATTTAAAAAAAACCTATATGATGATAATTTAAGTTTTGGTTAGAGCTTTTTTATCAGATGCCTCATGTTGAAATAATATACAACTAAATGCAATCCAGAGAAATTAGTGTGTTGTTTAAAGTTAACGAATATATAACAAATTTCAAAACTGCTCTTTTAGAATTAAGAAACTCAAAGTACTGTAAGAATTTTTCAAAGACACTGATGGCAGAAGCTAAGGAAATATGTGATTTTATATGAGTATTGATATAATGCACAAATATTCTTCCACTAAACACTTAGCAGCTGCTAAATTGTTAAACAAAAAATGCTTCGCTAGTTTTAGGAATGAACATTCTACAGAAGAAATAGTACTGACCACTGAAGCATATTTAATGATTGACAAAGAAAAGCTTGAAACTGAACTAAAAGTATTCTATTGTAGGTCTGATATCCATGAATACTGCAAATTAATTGAGCTACTGAAATTTATCTTCGAAAATAATCTAGATGATGTTCTTAGTGAAATTACGAAACAGATAAAAATTCTCTTGAGAGTTCCCATGATTACATCAGAGGCAGAACGCATGCTTTTCAACATTTGAAAAGAATGAAAACTTTTCTAAGAAGCACTAGGAATTCGGAAAGACTAAATGCGCTTGCATTGATTTCAATAAAGAAAAATCTCCTCAGTTGTCATCCAGAGATCAAGGAGAAAATTATTGATCTTTTCGCGCAAATTAAAACAAGAAGAATGGATTTCATTTTTAAATGAATAGACAAAGATTGAACTGTAACAATTTAGGTTAAAGTGATTAAGAAATGTTTAATTTTGCTCTTGTAAGATTTCATGAAGTTTCAAAATAAATTTTCTTTTTATACATGTTTATTTCCTTTTAGACAATTTTAAAACAAAGGTTAAAATTTTTTGGAACAGCACCCCCACTAATTTTAGCTACGAGCCGCCACTGTTGATTGAATAATAACTCTTGTATGAAATTCTTAGTGCCTCACTAGTTTGAAAATGGCTGTTGCCTTTTGCACATTAACAAAAAATTAGTGAACCACGAGTTTGTGACTTTTCAGTCGAGAGTGCAGATAATAAAAACAAGTTAAGTCGAGAGTTCGGATAATAAAAAAAAGTACCCTTAATTTCTATCATCTCTCAAATTACAGTGAAGCCTGTTATGATAATCATCACTGACAAATGACTGGTATTTTATAAAGAATAAGCATTATCTGACTACATTGAAGATGATGCTTACAGAGGATCAGAATTGCATAGTTGATAAAACTGTTAGCTGAATATGTTAATTTTGGAATAACAAGACATAAATGAAGATTCTTACAGAGGTATAAAATTTGCTTGGCAATTTATATGCATTATGCGTAACTAAATGTTGAGTTATTTTAGTCTTTAGTCTTCAAATGCCTTAAATTTAAAAGACAATTAAAAACTAAGAACAAATTTGTTTTCTGCAAGAATACTGGAGTGCAGTTCAAATGATAGATGAGCTTAAAGACATTATTCTACTTGTTACTAAGAGTAAATTTATACAATTTATGTGCTATATACATATTTAAGGAAAATATTTTGTTAACATTTTTGTATTTCTCTTTATTCTGCACCATATTTATATGTTACAAAATAGCACTCCCATGAGTGATGATAATATTATAAACTAAATACCTCAATCATATTTTCTCTATTTTTTACTGGATTCATTGGAGGCTCTGTCAACAGAATTTTACAATTTTTGGCATCAAGGTTCATCTTATTAGGACCAAATGTATAATCCCAGATATGGCACATATCTTCCCAGTTTCGAACTATGCCATTCTCCATAGGATATGAAACTTCAAGCATTGAGCGCAATTTACTAGCTTCATCGCCAACCATCAAATCCTGAAAAACATACAAAAATATAAAATACTTAATATACTCTTCCTAAATACTAAAAGGTCACAGAATGTTAAAAAAATCTTCAACTGTCATTCAAATGCAAAAAACAAAACAAGAAAGGTAATGAGAAAACATGCATGAGAATATTTCAAGCAGGTTAAACATAATGTTATTATGCTATACTCATGATTCCCTTCTTTTCTATACCTCACAATCCTGAGAAATGTTTGATTAGTATCTGCTATCTGCACATCTTACAAAGTAATGCCATTCCTACAAAATGTACTCAGTCTTATGAGCTATATCACATTATTTATCTCCTAATGGCACACAATACTCTGTCATAGTTCATGATACTGTATTTTCCACAGTGTATGTGTGTGGATGGGAATGCTTGCATAAGATAGACATTTCAAAATATTAAAAATAATGTCAAATGAAAGCTTAGTACCAGAAAATGCATTCGTACATTGAACAAGTACTTTTGTATCAAATGATTAAGGTTAAGGTTACTTGCAAAAAAGCGGTGAAAAAGGACAAAAAGATTATTTTTATAAAATATGCGATATCACAACAAGGTACAATTTTTGAACTATACCATTATTTTTTACAAGTACAGCAAACGTTGAAAAATGCGACAGCCATAAGTACAATTTAACTTCCTAACATTAATATACACAAAATCTTACTTTTTTCAGCCTAATTAAACAAACTAGACTTTTGTTGTGGCTTTATTTTAATTGTTCAAGTTCACAATATAACTGTATTTTATGCACACCGTAATTACAATAAATTATGGAAATCTGGGACTTTGTTTCTTATATCGGCACTATCATATTATCCACCCTAATCAAGCAAGAATCAACAGGCAAAAATGTTGCCAAAGCAGACAACATAGAAATTTAAGATAATGTATTTATCTGGCATCTCAATAATGCTTGTGTATGCATTATGCCATCCTCTAGTGGTGGTATATTAACTAATTTTGAAATCTGAGGCTCCTGTTTATGGTTTCTGTTTGATCAGTATTTTTCTCGTAATGAATCATAATGCCACTGTGGAGTTTGCCTGCTAATGCAAAAAAAAAAAAAAAAAAAAAAAAAAAAGCATCATTTTTTCAGGTATATGACATATTAGGTAGGTGAGACTAAGCATTCAGTGAAGTTAATTCATACAATTTTCTGATTTTGGTTAATCTTTGGATTATGGTAACTGGGCGATTTTTTGGCGACCAACACTACTACAGCAACCTGCTAGTTTTTGTTTTTCTTCTAAATATTAAAAATCAATTTAATTTTATAGCTGTTTTATGTAATTTTGCATGGTTCATTATGGAATTTGTTTTATGTAATTTTTATTATTTAATTTTAATATTTATTGCATTTTTAATTTCGTTTATTCGTTGCTGTTTCATGTAATTTTCAGCGTAGAAGCATTTTTTAAAATGGCTACTATTTTTCATGCGTTAGGCTGTCAAAAAATTAGTTGCTAACGATTAACCACCGACTTGTGGAAGCGATAGGCGGATATTGTAAGAGCACCTTTACATTTATTAATATAATATTATATAACTTTTTTTTACAACAAAAATATCTCAAATCATTTCCATGCAAAATGCTACTGATACATTAATTAATTATAGACAAAAAATAATAAACCTAGAACCCAAACAATGAAGACTTTAAAAAAATGAAATATTAAACAAGTACAATCCCTAAATCTCCCATTAAAAATGTAAAAAGACCCTATTAACTCAGTGTATTTAAACAAGAAGAAACCCTTATAAAAAGAAATACAAAAATTATCAAGAGGAGGTTGATCAGATCTGAGTAAAGTTTTCTGTTCACCTGAATTCAGCTGACGAGCGCTTTTAAATTATTCAATTATTATAATTCATCTGAAAATTTTGAGCATCTCCTCTACACAGAAGTCCCCAAATTGACAATATATATAAAAAATGTAAATGAAATAAATGTAACAAAAATCAATTTGTCTAATAAAGCAAAAAGTAATATTAAAGTAAAAAAGCAAAAAGTAAAAGTAATATAGTATATAATTACAAATATCAAAATCGAAAATTTACTAGGTGCTACTTTGGTAGACGGTTGTACGGATTTTGGTGAGTGATACGACTTATGGTAAGCCCATTGCTGGTCAAGTTATTTATGGTAACTGATACTTTGTTGTCATTTTATTTAAAAATAATGCCTTTTATTATGCATAAATTCTGTGTTTTAAATATTATTTATGGCTATTTAAATATTAAAAATCAATTTAATTTTGCATTTTTATGTGAAATAAAAATTTTATCATTTATGATATTTTGTATAATTTATGTTGTGGTTGATGTAATCAATGATGTCACCTTGCTTTAAAAGTAATTGATTTTAATATCTATAAAGTTAATCTAATGTTTTAAACATTATTTATGACTGTTAAGTATTAAAATATAATTTAATTTGCATTTTTTTTGGAAAACTGATTTTATTATGCTATTATTATTATTATGTATGATTATTTAAATAATTTTAATTCCAGGCGTGATGTACTTTTGCATTAGCGAGCTGTAATCAGCTCACTGATTGGTTACGGAATATTTGTGCATTACTGCGCCATTTTAAAATTTTATTATTCATCTCTTCAAATTCCTTAGATTTCATAGGAAACGGATATGTCCCTTTCATTATTAATGCTGTTATTGGTAAGTACCAAGAATTATTGGTATCAGGAAAAAAAAAAAAAAAAAAAAAAAAAAATCTGAAATGTTTCAGATTTTAAATTACGTCCAAAGGGGCATTTTTTTAACATTTTGTGTGTTACCTTTCTTTATTAAATATCATGTTCCTCGCACTTAAACCATAAGATCCAGTGCAACAGCAATATCGCAAAATAGTTTTAAAACGAGCATATCTTTAGAATTTCCGATACAGAGACTCACGTGCTGGAGATAAAAATGGTTTTTCTGCACAACGTTGCCATTGCTCGCTTTGAAATCCATTGAGTTTGTTAATCAAAAATTCGTTCAAAGTTTTAAAAAATAGGAAATCGATCATAAAACAAATTTCAAATTTCAAATTTGGCTCTTCCACATGCCTCATATTCATTGGAGGATTACGTTATTCAAAATTCGATGACTCTATGTACCGTTGTTTTATCACAATACGAGAAATATACATACATTTATGCAGATTTTTCATTATTTAATTTCTTCAAATATAATGCAGGACTCTAACATTTTGTGGCAACAGTTTGAAAAGTGAACCGACATTTATGAGTCAGACGCAAAATGCCAAAACGAAACTAATAGTCCTTCGGGATTCAAATCCCTTTGAACTAAAAATGTTCTTCGAGACCTTATTTTGGCCAACCTGGCGTTCCTAATCAAAGATTTATTTATAAATTGCTACAAGGGTCAGAGGAAATTTATTTAAAATTTTTGGAGGAAACCTCGCTAATTGCTTCTTCAATGAAGTGCGAGAAATGTGGATCACAGATGAAGATCCTTAGAAGAGCCGATTCCAAGGACGATCGTATATGGTATTGTGGTCACAGTGGAGGAAATAACCGATGTAATGGTAAAAAATGTATTAGACATTCCTCCATTTCTACCGGCAATAAACTAATTGCTGTCATTTTAGCTCTAGTTTATGAAGTGTTCTTATTTACTTATTTTAATGTATTTGAGTTTAAGTAATTGTTATGTCGCGAATTTCAATTACTAATATGTGTTTTAAGTTATTATTATTCTAATATTTTTATTTGTATTCATGTGTATTTTAATCTGGAAAAAAGTATTCTTAAGCTCTTAAGGTTTTATTTAACTCATTATTCTTGAGTAGGAATTGTAACAAAGGCGAGAGACGGTTGCAAGGACACACATCTGTTTTATAGCCTTTCCAACAATGAAGGTAGTAGGGTATGTATTGTCGCCTTTTAGCTAATGCGTGTGAAACGGAAATCGTTTTTCCTGTCGCTTTGGCAGTTTGCAGTTTTATTACTTCAAGACAGTGGGAGGTATACTAAGTTAAATAATTGGATACTCGTAAAAGCTAGTTTCGCTTGTTAGTTGGGGGGTCTATTTTTTTTTCTCACGTTATGTGAGTGCAGATGTTTTTCGGATTGCATTGTCAGATTTTCTGGTGTTTGATTCGTCATGGGTGTGTCATTTTCTCAATTTAGATAACTTAAAATTCCGGGATTGGTAAGATTTAATTTTATGATTTTTTTGAAAGCCTATGAACTCACAGAGGCGGAGAAACCGAGATTTCCTGGGTGCTTGCACCAGGCTAGAGTTCATTCTGATTCTGATTTTCAAGAAGAGTAAGAGGAGAAAAAGTGGGGGCTTGACCCTTCGGGTCTTGCTTCTCGCGAGCCGCGTGAACAGCCGGCAGAGGGTATGATTTTTCTCTCGGCTTTTAGCTGGCGAGAATTTGCATTGGTATAAGGCATAGAGCTCAGCAGAAGAATTTCGATTTCTCTTATCCCAAGAATTGTTCGGCAGATTCGCTTGGTGATCCTGACATCCTGATGCGGTATTCCTGTTTTTTACCGGCTTTGACTTCCTAATTAGATTTTGTTCCAAAGGTGCTCTACACTTATGGTGAGTTTCGGGGCTTCCAGAATGAAAGAGACTCGTGTAGGACCCTTCTAAGGTGTGCATTGCTGTTTATTCTGCCTGTGCCAGCTGCGTCGATTTTTTTTTTCATCATTCCATGCTCTGGAATTTATTTATTGTAAGGACAGCTTCAATGGTGTTGCAACCAGGTCATCTTTTCGCAAGAACTGTCTGCCTCCATTAACGATGATTTTGTGAATAAAAGACAGCAGGAATAATGTGGTGCTCGAGTAAACTTTGGACGCTGTCAAATGACCTTATTAAATCAGTATACGAAGGTATTCCCGAGTAAAGTGAGTGTTGCAGTTTCGACTTCACCCCGTGAGTGATTTTATTTTATTTGTTTTACTTCAATAATTATCTTAATACTCAAGCAAGAGTCGTCATTTTAATGTTTGTTGAAATTTGAGCAATTACTTAATTTAATTAATCGATGTGTGGAAATTATCAGTGTTCTTAAAGTGAATTACCATGATAAATACTTAAAGTTAGAAGATGAAATGGGAGAAAATACTAGTGTTACACTTATGATACAGTAGAATTTGATAATGTTAATCTTAATTAATATAAGCTGTAATTTGGTGTAGTATTATGTGTTATTTTGCTTAGAAAAAATATGTATTACTGATCAGTTATCCATTATTTAATTATATAATATATATTCAAGAATTTAATAAATGTGTGTTTAAAATTTAATTATATTTGTGTATTTATGTAGCGTATAATTTACTGTGGTCTGTCATGTCCCTCCATTTGTTTGAGCCGGGAGGCTTTTAAGAAACATGGAGTTTAATTGAATTTGGAGTTATTGATTTTCCCTTTACATAGGTTACTCACAACGCAAACCTAAAAGTAAATTGTACTATACCACTATACGATTGATTGATAGATATGATATACGATTGATTTATAGATATGATATACGATTGATTGATAGATTTACTATACGAATGTTTATAAGAATGTCGAAATGATATTTGATTACTATGAAATAGATTTTGAATGTTTTGAATTATTTGATATTTTATTTTTTGATTTTTTTTTTGTTAATTTTGTCCGGCACCATCAGTCAAAGTCCAAAGTTAAAAGGTATTAAAACAACAACATAATTTTTTCCCATATAACATAATATTTATTCTCTTAAATATTGGTATGATGGTTTTTAATTCGATATTCAATTTACGCAATATTTTAATCCAATTAAATGTTGTTTTTATAGCGGTGTTTTTATTATATTTCTGTGCTATATGAAAGTAATAATTTAACCTTACTTTAGTATTTTATACTTGTAGTAAATGTGTTTATTTACATTTACCTGCCATCTTAAGAAACAACGTTTTCAACAAAAAAATAATCCATTATTTTTAACAATATTTATTTTTTTAAAGTTTGGAATACTTTACTAAATAACGCATAAAATAACGTAAAAACAGCGTTTTTCAAGATGGCTGACGATTGTAAAAACCCCGCCAACAATTGTGCCAAAGTATATCGCCAAAAATCCGTGCAATCGTCTATCAAAGTAGCATCATTTACTAGAACATGCAAGACAACAGTGAATAAGTGAAGAATAACCTCCAAACCTGTGAAATCAGGTTTGAACTATTATCGCCATTGTTGCTGGTAACATGTACTGGGTTCTTTGTGAAAGTGCTTCCGAACAGTAAAAAGTACTATGCATAAATCAGAAAGTATCTAACTGCCTAGGTTATATATTTTGATAATGAAAATTCTATTCAGATTGTGAATTATAAATCATGCAACACATTTAGTGTGTTTTAGTGCACAACAAACAAAAAATACAATTATAAATTAAGTTTTAATGCTGCATTTTTCATCAAATCTACTTTAGCTGTTATTTTGTCATGACTAATTGTTTCCAGACTACTGAATTTCGTATCTCCAGAATTAGTGCATGCTATGATCACTTTCAATAGACAATATTATGATTAAAAGTTGGTGAAATAAACACCCAGATATAACCTTTCCCATTGTGAAAGTGTCAGAAAGAAACATACGATAAAAACCACTTACACGAGCATCAGTAGGTGCATCCTAAGGCAGCATGAAGAAAAAGATAGATAAATAGAATTTGTAGGAGAAAAGTTAAACTTCTGAATGTAAACTTGCTGAACATTAAGCAAATAGTTCTTACCTTTACTTCAATATCTCCAATTTTGTGGGCAGCTCGTATGATAGGTCTTCCAACCAGAGACGGAAATGTAAAAGCAGGGAAGTTAGAACCAGCATAACCACATTTAACGAACTGAAAACATAGAACACAGTACAATTATTACTTCCTTATGTAACTTTCTATTAAAATAAATAAGCATTAAATGAAAAAAAACACATTGACCCACATATTAAATAAAAATTATACTGAATTTCAGTTACTTCAGTATGCACAGGGAGGGAAAAACATTTAAATACTTTTTTGGAACTGTCAATCAAATAGTGAAAATGAGATACTAGGTATTAAAAGTGAAATAATAGGTATTAAAATTACCCCTGTTCCATTATCACAAACTATTATTTTCCGACCTTGACTATCCATTTTGATACTTATGGATTTATTAATTAATAATAAATAATAAAATTGCACTTTAAGTCACAACATTACGGCAAAATAATCGGAAGGGTGGTGTGAAAATTGACAGTTGCCATTCTGTATCAGAGTTATTTGATATTACAATAAAATGCTCTAATAATATACTTATTTACAATTTAGTACATACAGGTTTAAAGCAAAAATATTTCATCACTTAAAAAAAACGTCAAACTTCTAACACTTGTATTGAAACTGTTTAACATTTTAATTATGCTGAGCATAAAATACTTATTTTTAAATTTGTCTATTCTGAATTGGCAACAATTTCATCTCGGCGAAATTTTGACTCTGTCACTGTTGTAGAAATAAGTTGTGATATTTGTTTCAAAAATGCGTGATGTAAATGCTTACTTGTCTGCTCAACAAGCAAAAAGTTCCCCAGAAAGAGCTGAAGAATGGGCGCAATTGGAAGAATATTATAATAAAAAGTAAGCTGAGAGTTCATAATATAATTTTGCCGGTTCATATTATGTTTATTATTGGAAGCTTGCGATACCAATTCGCAATTGTCAAAATTCTAACTTTAAGTAATTGCTTTCAATAACAGAAAAATTTCTTTTAATTAGCTTATTGTACCTTTTCCATGTATTATTGCTAAACGGTAAAAAATTAGCTATCGAAACAAATACAACATTTCCTTCACAGTCATAATTTTTTTCGGGTGAAATGCAGAATCGCCCACTTATTTGTTTGGCGCTTTTTACAAGAATAAGAAGAATGGGATTTTTGTCAGTTCTCTTTGACTTTTTAAGTGAAACTAGGTCGATGTGTACATAATGCCATTTTTGTGCAATTCAGAGATTTTTTTTACAGTAGGTCGATGTGCAGATGGATACTGAGTTAGTGCAATTCTTGGTGAATCTTCGGATCATGGTAACTTGGCGAAACTTTGGCGACCAACCCTGCTGCAGCAACCTGCTACTTTTTTTTAGATGCCATTTTGTTTTCACGAAGTAAAGGCATTTTTTTTTTTACTCAACATTTTTTCCAACAATCTGCTAGCCAAATTACGCTTATGCTAGAACTTTTATGCAACAAAAGTGCTTAATCATGACGAAGATTAGGTGCGAAATTGAAAGAAAGTAATCGCCCACTGCTTGCTGCGTTTTTAAGAATTGCATATACACGGTATCCATGTACACGTCGACCTAGTTTCACTTAAAAAGTCAAAGAAAATTGACAAAAATCTAATTCTTCTCAGTCTTGTAAAAAGCACCAAATACGTGGGCGATTCTGCACTTTAGCAGTGAAATTGTTTCTAAGTGCTTATTAGCTAAAATCCCGATTGGAATTTTTCGGAAACTGTCACATTACATGTCTGATAATCTCTCATTTCTCCGAGACAAAATAATCTCTGATTCGAACTGTGTACTTCTCAAATTATTGCTGAAGTCCTAGCTAGTAACCTTTATCGCCTTACCAAAATGTTGCCAAACTACCTGTTACCATTTTCCAAAGATTAGCGCAATTCTTAAAAATGCGCCAAGTAGTGCGTGATTCTGCACTTTCCCCGTTTCCCCCCCCCATATTGCTAGTAATAAAATAAGGGTACAACTCTGATAAACGCCCTAATTTCACCAAATGTGACAATATGTGTTTTGCGCTGGTTTTTGGCGCGATTGCCAACCATGTCGACGTTGAAAAGTCTTTTGGTGGAGTAGTTTGTTAATTGCTAGTTGGTTCGTGTCGCGTGTGTTTTTGAAATGGCCTGTGTTGCGATGAAAGACAGACGTGGTGGGAAGGTTTCAGCTGCGTATTTTAGATTATGTGCAGAGTAAATTTAGTATGAAAAGGTACAATGTTGTAGTTGTTAACGAGTCTTGTTAACGGATGTATTTATGGGGATCGTAGTGTATATTTAGAATTTCTGTGGGAGTCGGGACTTTTAAAACGGAGTTTGACGTGTCCGAAATGCGGAGCTGATATGGGAACTCGGACGAAAAATGGTGTTTCTGATAGACTTGTGTGGGTTTGCAGTAAAATTGTTGCTAATAAAGTATGTGGGTGTCAGCGGAGTTTAAGGTTTAAATCTTGGTTTTCGTGTAGCAAGTTAACGTTGGAGGAAGTTTTTATTGTTACTTTCGAAATTTTGAATCGTAGGAAGGCATGTGATATAGCAAAATCGTGGAAGTTTTCTTCACAGACGTTGTGTGACTGGCGAAATTTTATTAACGAATGTATTTTGGACTTTGCATGCTCTGTATCTGAGAAGATAGGGGGGAAAGATATTTCTGCTTTTAAAAGAAGCTTTCATTATGGTAAGTGCATTTTATTTTATTGTTTTTATTTTTTAGAATGTTATATTCATTGTTTTGGTATGAAATTTCCGTTTTTATTGTTGTTTTTTGAATTGTCTGAAATTTATTTGTGTTTATATTCTTGATTTGTTTTTAGTGTAGATTGTGCAATTCGTAGATGTTTTTTAAAGTTGAAACAGAACTCTGTGTACATGGTATTCTTTGAAATTTATTGTTGTTATGTTAATTTATTAAAGCGGAGGTGTGCGTAGTTCGTAGATTCGTTTGTTGCCTACAGTGTGCCATTCGTAGATGTTTTTTTAAGTTAAAATATGTCGCTGTGTACATGGATTCTTGTCAAATATTTTTGGTTTGAAACTTTACGTTTTTGCTATCTAAATTTTTTGTTTTTGTTTCGGATTTTTAGCTTAAATCGTGTGTTCAAAACGTAGTTTTTGCATGTGCGAAAACCATGTTTTTGGAGACATTTTAGGCTTAAAGTTCGAAATGTAGACAAAAAATTTAGATAGTAATATGGTAGCGTAAAGTTTCTCACCAAAAATATTTGGCGAGAAATTTGGCGACTTGAGGGCGCATATCAGAGTAGTTCCAAAATAAGTAATAGATATTTCAAAATTTGGAAAGATATCTTTTGTACAAAGTTAAACAAATAATTCCATCGCAGAATTTTTGCTGGTAAAATCCTACTGTACGGTGCGGCCTTGGGGCGATTTTAAATATTGTCACCAACACCAAAATCACTCGTTTACTGTTTATCATAAAAAGCGTGTTTAGTGTTCACCATAATGTCGCCAAATCCCGTGTGTACAGTATACTAGGATTAATCGTTTTCGCTGAATAATTTTGAAAATACTCCCTGCTTACTAAAATACTCATGTACTGAAGTCTGCTTGTCTCCTTTGAGGTAATTTACCAGTAATATCTTCAATAACTTTTACTTGTACTTCTAAACTTAAAAATGTTATTTTTTGATTTCAAACATTTTAATCGGTTTAATCCTAGTATCCTGTGCGCAAGGGATTTGGTTACTTTTGGCGACTTTATGATGAGCAGTAAATGGGACATATACGATGAGTAGTTAAATGGGTCATTTTGGTATTGGCGATAATTTTGAAAATCGTGCCAGGGCTGCACCGTATACTAGGATTTTACCTTTTAATCTATGATTAACTATTTAAAGATTTTAGAAGAGTTTTTTTAAATTTGTGAGAAAGGGGCGAAATATGAGAGTAAATATGGTAAATCCTCATAACTCATAGGGTCTGTTTAATGTTTGGAGCTTTCATAGTTACAGTGAAAACATCTCGAAATTTTCGAATGGCAACACTCGCTTTTTCTCTGCAAATTGATAAGTGCACTGAAAAACCATAAATGGCATTGGAAAGATACACGTTTGACTAAAATTACCAGTGTAATATTATTATTATTCACCTTAAATTTAATAAAAAGAATTCTGTTATATAACAACATTCTTTTTACATTATCAGCATGAAATACAACAAATTTGGCAAATTTTTAGCAACGAATAATTTGTAAAATCATCAGAAATAGCACGTCGTAAAAGTGCTGTCTACTCTGAAATTTCCACGATTATAAATTTAATCAATATATAAACATTTTAAAAATGACTTAGACATTTATACTACAAAACAGCAGTATTATATATAGCATTTTCCGTATTTCTTCAATAAACCGGCTTCTATTTCCACTGTTCATGATCTCGCATTTACAGCCATCGCCATACTGAAAATTACCCGTGATCCTTTTCTTCAGAAGCAGAACTTTCATCTTATTGGTTGATCTCTTCGTGGAACACAGCGGTAAACGAAACATGTTCAAAAATGTTTCAAAATGTCTAACTAACGGTTGTCAATTCGAACGTGAATCCGTTGATATGACTTGTACTTCACTTATGTTACATTTGTTATTATGCTTTTGAACTGCGAGTAATAAACACCTTTCCCTCCCCTATTTTGTGTCCTTGTGTTTTATCTCTAAAAAATGTGAAATACAAAATGAAGCATCAAAACAAGCATGCTTGAAACACCAGCACCTATTTAATGCCCACTACTGTGTCAGGAAGGCCTTTCCGACCTGGCATTCCGATGTGATTCTGAGTCTGTCAGTGTACCTTATCTCCCTTCGAAGTATTGTCTTAGCGGGGACATCCTGTATATGAAGAAAAATTGTTTTGTTCTTTCTGAGATGCACAAGAAGGAAAGACATTTATATTTTTCGCAAGTAAGGATTTGCAATGAAGTAGTTGCATTAATATGTCTACAGCTTGTGCGGGGATAACGATGAGTGAGAATGGATTTGTATAAAAAAAACTGCTGGTAGTTAACATATTTTTACTCACTGTCTGTGCTTTGCGATGCTCTGAAATTCATTCTTTTCATAAGAAACCAAGCTCTTAACGTTTTTTGGGAAAACATTTGCAAAGATATGAATCTTGATTACCAAAGCTTATTGCTACATACAGAAATATGATGGCTCTTAAAAGGACAAGTGCATTGCTACAGATATTGGAGGTTATTGCATTTGAAAGATGTTATATTTTTAATTGAGCAGAAATCAGATTTTTCAAAGTTTTTCATGATGAATTATAGCTTTTAAAAATATTATTTATTAGATATTTTTTAAAGACTGTCTGCTTTAAACATGTCATTTCAAGGAGATATTTCTAAGCATATTTGCATTTAAATGTAGAATTGAAAGTTTTGTTTAAAAAGCGAAGAAATGGAGAAAGTTGAAAATGGATCTTTGAGAATCATCATTGGCATAATTACTTCCATAATTAAGTATAACCTTTTCAAAGATTTAATTCTAAAGTTATAGCTGATCATTTAAAGAGTGACTTTTTGCCTTAAAAATTCCTGAATATAAGAACACATAAAATATATATTGGATATAAGAACACATAAATAATAATGAATTTTATTATGAGTGTTTCTTTGTGGCATCTTGCTCTAAATCATAAGTCATATAACACATTTCACATTCATAAAATTTTTTTAAATTAAAATATTTGCATTCAAATAATATTTTTTGATTAGAACTTGTGTAATATTAGAGTATGTACACATTTTGATATTAAAATATTATTTTAGGCTATGGCATCAACTTACTTTGAAGCTTCTAACACTTGTCAAAGCTCCTCATTTGCAAGAAGGAACAGCTTTAGTAGAAGTATGTTTCATTTCTTTTTTAAAATGTTATATGTATTATTTCTATGTTAAGAGATCCTAACAATTTATAAGGACCTAAAATGTGAACTCTCTATTTTATGTAGGAAAATAATAAATTTGCAGTTAATATTTTATAGGCGGTATTTCATTTGTATGATTATCTAAATTATTTTTGTAGATTAATGTCATAAGTAATTGTCAAAGCAATGAATGAGATAACTGATAGTCAACTTTTATGTGGATTATGTATCTATATGTCTGTATTTTGTAAGAATGACTAAAAATAGCAGAATGTTTTTTTACAGTTTCTTGTGGGTCAGCCAGAACGCGATATACCAAAGTATAAGAGAAAAGAACAATAAAAAAAATTTAAGAAAACTAAATTCAACATGATAGAATGGTGCATTATCATTCATTAAAAGGAGTTATCATCAACTGTAGCTCTAAAAAACTTTGCATAAAGATAAAGAACCTCATCTTTATATCTTTCAGTATTCATTGTTGTACTGGTAAAAATGTATAGGTTAATGTGGCCATTCAGAATGATGCCTACTCATACCATGATTCTATCACTTTTGTAAGAGGAATTCTCATCTATCAGTAAATTCACTGTCTCACATGTGGGCTTCATTTCAGATAACGAATTCTTGGGGCATTCTTAATAATGTGTTTTAATTTACAATGGTCAAATTAAGGAAATTTTGGCTAAAGAATACTAGGAATATGTTAGGAAAAATGAAACATGTAAATTGTCTGTTGCTTGATACTGTTGGTCAGAAAAATCATATTTGTCTATTTTTTGCAGCCAAAAGTATTCAAAAAATATCATCTGTTGGTGAATTAGAATTTCTAGAGGTGTTTTACATTCATAAAAATCGTTCAGTTCTAGTTATTATTCTTAATTCTAATCCATCTTTACCCACAGCTTTTAAGAAAATTATTTCATAGTTATTTTCATTTTTCAATAGATGGTGAACACTAACTTAACTTTCTTCCTGTCTTTTCATCACCTGATCATATGCTTTCCTTTTGTCACTTGTAGTTCTGTAGTTGAAAAATATTCTAACTATATTTAAACCTTCAAAACTAGTCCTGCAAATTTATGAATTGATATTGCTGATTGTTATTGCTGTCTTAACACCTCTCAAATATAATGACATACTTGTAATTTTTTTAAGCATAATATGCCATATTATTGGATAATATACGTTAATAGCAATATTTTGGTAGCCAAATGGTTTATTCTGTTATGCAAATAAATTACAAAATAAATTTTATTTTATATATCTTGTCCTCAGTCCATATTGGGAGGGGGGAAGCTTGCATTTGTAAACTTCTGTGCACTCTCAAATGATTAGAAAATAATATTTTTGCAATTTTTTTATTACAAATTATATACCTTTTCATTTTCTTTATCTTTAATGTTTTATTTAGAACCTAAATGTAACATATTAATTTTATAAAAATATGTAATTTTTTATCCCCAAAAATAAAATAGTGTTTTAAGTAAATATTACATTAATTTTCTTATATCCTAAGATTAAGAATAAAGGAAATCATAATTTGGAATGATTAATACATAGCATTAATTACTATAAGTTATTTAAAAGTTGGTAAATATTACATGCATTGGAAATCATTTGAAATTTTGTGCTTTTATGAGGCATTGCATGCTTAACACGTTCTCTACTAGTCAAATCTTAAATGACTTTCATTTTTTTATCTGAATATGTGATGCCAATGAGAAATAAGAAACAAATAATTAAATTACAGTATTGTGTTTTACCAACTTGAAAATTTTATTGTCATATATTCATGAATATTGTTAATTTCTTTTTTATGCTACAATGGTCATTTGACATTTCAGGGAAAGCCTCATTGATCACTATAGTTTGGATTAAGAAGTAGTCTGTAAGGAATTACTTATGTTACTAATTTTGTTATGCTTGAAAATATTACTGTATATTCTGGTGTTCTTTAATACAAAAAATAAGATCAAAACCTATGGGTGTGCATTACACACTGGGTATAACAATGATAGATTTAAAAATAAGGAAAATATGAGCATAAAAAAAGTAGATTTCTACATGTACTCAAATGCTGTTTATTTAAAAGAAATGATATATCTTATGAATTTAAATTTTTCTTCTATTATATCTTCAAGCACATCATCAAATTCTGTTTCATTTTCACCATCACTGTTATTCTGATCCATAAATAGAGCATCATCTGTTCCTTCTAGATTAGCTACATTTTTTAAATGACTTTTGGACTATGTTGAATTTAATAATTTCATCATGTGTTTATTATCCATTCACATGCTATTTCTAGACTGGCATGACACATCTTTAGTCCTTAATTTCTGTTTGTGTACGAATCATATGTATTATGCACATTGGAAAATGATATAGCAGTATTGTAGGGTTCTACTCTGTGTACAAATTAAACTCTGCCACTTGCAGGTAGTATAGATAATAGGAAGTTGAATTCATAAATTAATGTAATTTGTAGCATGAGACTACAAATAAGTCTTCTAACTAAGCACTCAAATTTTAAGCATACAATTTAACTTCAGCTAGAAAAATGGCCCATGCTGGCTAACTTACATAGTGGAGCTGGGTGGGCAGAATTTAACCCTTTGATCAACAAAGCTGTATATATAAATGTGTGGCCTAGATCAGCGGTTTTCAACTGGTGGTATGCCTACCTTACTTTATCTCTTTCTTACCACTAGTGGTAAGAAAGAGATAAATAGGTTGTATGCAAAGAAACAAAGTATTTTTGACTATTAAACTCAAAAATTAAATACCCCAACAACCTTTAAATTTTTTTTCAAAACTTGTAAATTTATGCCATCTGAGCTTTGTTCAAGTTCAATAGGTGCTCACAGACTTTAGCCAAAGAATCTGTTTTTATTTTCACAAATATTCTTTTAGCCTTAGAAAAATTTGTCATAAATAATATTCTTAAAAAGAGTTACAGAAATGGTTATTGCATTTAATAGGAAATAAAAATAAGTTCCTGTAAAAAGGTAATAGTATCTCATTAGACTCGATCGATTTATTAGCATGCCTACACTTTATGTTGCCACCATTTCCGAGCTCATATTGGTCTATTTTAAATTAGAATAATTTTTTTATGTCGATTTGCTGTCTCTTAACTGCAGGTATTTTGTTTTCTTGTTGCTTTGTATTCTTTACTTTTCTACACGATTTGAGAATAGCGTCGTTTGTTTTTGAAGAACTCGCAATATACTGTGTATTTAAATATTTGTGAAAAAATAATAAAACAAATGCAGATTTTCAGAATGGAAAAATGGCTATTCTTGACTAAGTGGAAGAGTGATTATCCACAAGTAATGGATCCAGGACACACTACTAGCACTAAGAAATTGAAAAGAAAGAGAAAAATTGTTTATAGAAAATGTAGCAAAAGTTAATTATCATTTAGGTTTACTTGGAATAGACACAAAATGGACCCTCAACCTTGATGTGTTGTTTGCAGTGAACTGTTATCCAATCAAAGTATGAAACCATCGCTTCTTAAAAGACATCTTGAATCTAAGCATGCCAATTTAAAGGATAAATCTGAAAAATATTTTAAGAGGAAATTATTGGAGTTCAAAAATAGTAAACAAGTAATGAAAGGTTTTGCTACTTCATTTGAAAAGGCTTTGGCCTAAGAATTGTAAGACTGGGCAGGTTCACACTATTGCAGAAAATAATATATTACTAGCAGCTAAAGATATTGTTTTTAACATTATTCAACAAAAAAGTGGCTAATGAACTTAAAAACATTCCGTTATCAAATGATGCAGTAGATTGGCGAATTCATTAAATGGCGAATTCTATAAAAGAGACTAAAATAATATAAAAGAGACTAAATTCTATAAAGAGAATTTTGCATTGCATTTGGATGAAAGTACTAATATAATGAAATTTGTTCAATTATTAGTTCACATACGTTTTGAAGGAGATGATCAAATTGCCGAAGAGTATTTATTTTATGAATCTGCTCATGATTGAGCAACTGCAAATGAAATTTTCAAAGTAATTGACAATTTCATGTCTGAGAATGATATTCCTTGGAATAAGCACATTGCCGTATGCAGTGACGGAGCTCGGGCTTTAACAGGAAAACATTCTAGTGTTATTTCTCAAATAATGAAAGTTGCTCCTGAAACTGAATTTACTCAATGCTCCATTCATCACGAGTAGCTAAAACTATTCCTGAAAACCTGAAAATCGTTTTGAATCAAGCTGTGAAAATTGTTAATTTTATTAAAAGCAAGCTATGAAATCAAGAACATTTATGATTTTTTGCCAAGAGATGTGAACATGAAATGCTTTTATTACATTATGAAGTAAGGTGGTTATCCAGAGGCTAAGTTTTAAAACATCTTTTCGAACTTCAATCAGAAATTCAAATTTTCCTGGTAATGCAAAATTTGAATTGCAAAATTGTTTATTTAATGAATTATTGTTGGCAAGTTTAGCATATTTAGCCAATATTGTTGGAAATTTAAAAGAATTGAATTTAGCATTACAAAGTGTTAATTTGTTTACTATTAGAGATAAAATAAATGCAATGATAAAAAATCAAGGCATCGAACTAATAATCAAAGAATTGGATAATAATATTTTAATCTTTTTCCCACTTTTAGAAAGTTTTCTAACCGAAAATGATTTGAAAATAAAATAATTAGCATACGACATTAAAAATCATTGTTTTTTATTGATAAATAATTTCAACCTGTTATTTCCTGAGGTTTATGAAAAAGAAAATTGGATTAGAAATCTGTTTTGTCCAAATGTACTTGAAATTTTATCTTGTGAAGAAAAGAACAATTGATAAAAAATTTCCAGTGATCAAAGTCTAACTGAAGATTTCCAAAATAATATACTTGTTAATATTTGGCTAAACTGGGGGGGGGGGGTAAAGGCATTTCAAATAAAGCTATTAAACTTTTATTATCTTTTTGCACGACCTATTTGTGTGAAC